TCTACCACCGAGCTATATAGCCAGCCCTCAGGGTAATTTTTATAAAGGCAGAATTTGCCAGAAATTGAAAACGTTCACTAGTATTCACTTGTGAAAAGAATATTCACATCAGAACTTTTATTGTTTGCTTGTTTATTTATATTTTTCAATACTAGGACTGAACCCAGAGCCTGAAGCTCTGAGCTACATCTCCAGCCCTTTCTTTATTTTTATTTTTGAGACAGGGTCTTATTAAGTTGCCCATGCTGGTCTTGAATTTGAAATTTTTCTGTCTTGGCTTCCTAAGAGGCTGGAATTATAGATGTGTACCACCACATACAACACAAGAATATTTTATTTTAATATTAAACTCATGAGTCATAATCTGTTTATAATAGTGTTTGTAATCAACAAAACAGGAAAAATTAGGAAACATTATTTTACATTAATGTTCATTCTTTTATTTAGTACCATGATAACTTGTTTTCTCAAGCTATATATCTTTATTACAATTAAAAAGATTAGTCCTGGGCTGGAGATGTGGCTCAAGCGGTAGCGTGCTCGCCTGGCATGCGCGGGGCGCTGGGTTTGATCCTCAGCACCACATAAAAATAAAAAGACAATGTGTCCACTGAAAACTAAAAAATAAATATTAAAAAATTAAAAAGATTAGTCCTTTCTCTTAAAGAGCTCTATCTGAAATTCATAAATTATTTCCTTATATATAGTGCCTGAAAGTGATAGATTATATGAGAATACTGTTGTGAGCTACTTTTTTAGTACATCAAGAAACTTTTTAGTATGCAGGGTTGAGAGGTTACATAAGGGATCAGCTGATAAATTTTCTCTCTACCTACAAATGCTATCCAGGTAATGCTGTCCAGTCCAGTGGCTTTATACCTATACATATACTGATGATTATCAAACTCTAGATTGGAATTCTTCCTCTGAATCCAGATTTATCTCCAAACTGTCTCAATATTTCTCATGTGTCAATCTAATAGATACCTCAAACTTAATATGTCTAAAACCAATTTTGATTCCTGCTCTACTTCCAATCCCTGCACCATTTTTTTTCCTTCCTTAATCTATCACAGTTTAGGGTAGCTCCATTTTATCAGAGGTTCAGATCCAAATCTGGGAGGCATTCTTGATTACTCCCTTTCTCTTTATAACCCACATCTAATTAATCCATCAGAATATCCTTCAAATTACACCCAGTTCCAGTGCCACACCCTCACCCAGGTCACCATCATCTAACATGGACAATGACAAGAACTTCTGTATGACAGATTATGGTTAACACAACAATGAGTGATTCTGTTAAAACATTAAATGATAACCTCTCATTGCTCTATTTAAAATCTCCCAATCATTTCCCATTTTATTCAATGTAAAATGGTATAAAAACTTTGCACTGCTTGGCTCCCAACCCCTCTTCCCTGATTCTATTGCTATAGCTTTCCTAGTCTCTCTACACTAGCAGCCTGATACTAAACATATCAAGCACACTTCCATCTTGGGGACTTGCTGTTCTTTCTGACTGGATCACTACTCCTCCACATATATATAACTTAGATCCTCACATTCTTCAAGGTTCTGTTCAAAGGCTCTGCTTAAATGTCATACTAGAAAAACTTGCCCTAACTTCCCTCATCTAATACAGCACTCCCCCCATCTCAGTTTCTCAGTCCCCTCACCATGAGCTAAAAGAAGAGCCCTAGCTTCTACAGACATTATACAGTAGTTTAACTAAAGCCAACTTTTCAGCAAATACTAAAACAATTAGCTTAGTTATAATAGATAAAACCAACTCCTTACTTTTATATATTCCCCATTATGATGTTCACATTTCACACCATTATTTACAAAATTACTATTACCCATAAGAGCAAGGAACAGTATCTTACATTGCAATTCTTTAGTATCTGATAATTAATGTTTCTAGAGGAATTAATATGTACTAGGCACTGTTCTACCTGCTTTAAGCATATTAACTCATGTAATCCTCACAATGAAGGTATAAAAACTACCAATTTCATCTTCATTATAAAAATAATAAAACAGGCCTGGCACAGTGGCACACACCTGTAATCCCAGAGGCTCAGGAGGCTGAGGAAGGAGAACTTTTTAGTTCAAAGCCAGCCTTGGCAACCTAGTGAGCAACTTAAGAGCTCCTGTCTCAAAATAAAATATAAAAAGAACTAGGAATGTGGTTCAGGTGTTAAGCATCCCTGGGTTCAATCCCTGAAACCAAACAAAAAGAAAACAGACAGAAGTTGGGCAAATTGCTTACCCAAGGTTGTAGTGGTATAGACAGGATTCCAAACAACTCCAGACCCTGTATCCTTAATTATTATGCTATACTATCTCTTGGTTGACTAAACATAGAATAGAGTGCTGGGGGAGAGGGCTTAGTTACCATAATTAGAAAAAGACTCTTCAAGGGGGTTAACATCTGAGATGAAGAGTGAATTATGTACTCATAGCCAAGTGACTATGGGTAAAAGAGTCTCCCAGGCTTAAGAAATAGGCAACTAAGAAAGGACTAAGCTGGGGGGAAAGAGAGGGGGTAAAAAGGCCACAGTGTTTAATAAGCAGAGTGATGCATAGAGAGATTAAAGAGATTTTTTAAAGGTGTTTGTACATGGAGGCCTTAATAAATGCTTTAGTGAGGGGTTGGTTTTATTCCAGTGGCCCATAGAAAAAGAGTTAAATGAAGGACTGTTGCAATTAAAAGACTAATAAGAGTCATGATCCAACAGTTTCTATTGAGAACTTTCAAAATTAGTTCTCTTCACCTGAAGGACCCATGATTTTGAGGGTCTTGATTTGGGGTTTTACTGCTTTCAGGGATATGATAAGTGAAATGATAGGACATTAGCACATAATAGTGACTAGGCTCGCTGATGGATGTTGGCACTGTTCGAGTCACAGATATAAAAATGTCTGTTAAAAACAGTGTAGGTCAGCAAGCTGCAGAATCTTAGTAGCAAATACAAACACATACAGTAGCTGATGGATTGCATAGTGTGTTCAATGCTACTTTGTGGGATAGAAATTAAAAAAAGAAAATTCACCAAAACATGAAATCAATCACTTAAGGAATTGTTAAATCCCTCTAGGGAGCAATGATGGCTATTGTCCTCTCTAGGACATATTTCACAAATGCATTTATTCTGAAAATGGTATTCAGAAAACTACCAAAAGGAACACAGCAAGCCTATTAACTGGTATATTTAATATTTACATGCACAGCGTGGAAATGTACTGGGAAAAATGACTGAGCATTATCACTAGTTGGTATAATGACCATGGAAGAGTATACACAACTCCACCTTTCCTTATTTGCAAAATGTAAGAACAGAATATATATGCATTTCAATTCTTAAAACACATATGCACAATACCCTCTAAAACCCTTCATTTGATGGTACAAATCCAAAGATATAAAAAAGGTTAAATAAAAATAAGCATAAAGTTTGTTTTAATACCTTTGTATTTTAATGTATAGGTTGATAAGTATAATGAAATGTAATCAATAGTTAGCTAAAGGGGATAAAAACTCAAATTCTGAAGCTAGATGTCAAACATCTGTGTACAAAGATTTATCAAATAACTTACATTTTGAGGATATGTATATATGGAATATTAAAGATATAACAAACATTAAAAAACAAACATTGAACTCTATCACTGAGCCACATCCTCAGCCCTATTTTGTATTTTATTTAGAGACAGTGTCTCGCTGAATGGCTTAATTTGCTGAAGCTGGCTTTGAACTTAAGATCCTCCTGCCCCCAGCCTCTGGAGCTGCTGGGATTACAGGCAAGAGCCACCGTACCTGGCTTAACTGGATTTTTAATTACCCAAGTATCTGACTTTCAGTTTTAATCATTATAAAATTATGTACATAGGTGACCTTCCTGTTCTAAATTCTAAATATTATTAGTCATGATTTGGTGGAATGCTTTTTATCAAGACAAACTGGATATATAAAGGTTACATTTGGTATCAGTCAGCATTTAACATGATGAGTATGATATATCCATATTACATGTGAAGATTTATTACTTAGCCTCCCTTCAGAATTTTTTAAATGAGTATTCAAATGTACGAAGAGTTCAATAGAAATAAGTTAGTTGTATTCTATAGTGACATTATTTTCTAAGGAACAACCACTACTTGGGCTTTCTAGAGGATTCTATGCTTTGTTCATTTTCACATGTACCTATTTACAAAACTGAATTTCTTGCCTAATATTTGTATTTTAGTGTTGGGATTTTATTTTTTGTTTGTTTATGTGTTGGGGACTGAACCAAGGGTTTCATGCATCATGTTAAGCACATGCTGTATCACTGAGCTCTGTCCCAGTCCCTCTTATCTACCTTTTTTTCTTGAGGGTTGGGGGGGTACTGGGGATTGAACTCATGGACACTCAACCACTGAGCCACATCCCCAGCCCTATTTTGTATTTTATTTAGAGACAGGGTCTCACTGAGTTGTTAAGCGTCTTGCTTTTGCTGACTCTGGCTTTGAACTCACGATCTTCCTGTCCAGCCTTTAGAGTTACTGGGATTACAGGTGTGCACCACTGCATTCAGCCCCTTACCCTACCTTTTAAAAATCAAGTATTCAAGTTAGAAACAGGAGGCTATAAAAAATTGTCTCTAGTTAAAATAACCTCTTTTTCTTTTCTTCTTTTTTTGGTACTGGGTTTTGAATCCAGAGACACTTAATCATTGAGCTACATTCCCCAGGACCTTTTTATTTTGAGATAGGATCTCCCTAAGTTACTGAGGTTGGCTTTGAACTTGATATCTTCCTGCCTCAGCCTCCCAAGTGTACTACTGTGGTACCCAGCTTGATCAAACTTCTTTTATGAAATAGGATGATTTTTCTCATTACTGAAACAAAAATATCAACCCAAAATAACAATCTGAAGAACACAGAGTTAATGAATATCAAAAGTTTCAGACATCACATTTGAGTATGTTTTCTGTAAGAATACTCCTTCTTACCTGATGAAGAACTTCCAGAGTAACGGGATAAAAGAGGTTTTCAATTATTATTCGGAGCACAGGGCTCTGTCCAGGTAGGACTGTGCCTTCATTGGAAGGAGCTCCAGGAAGGGCCAGGTTTCCTGACTGGACAGCACTGACAGCCTGCAATGCAGCTTGGGCTCTCTAGAGAACAATCCAAAATCAGGCTTTTTATTATATAAAAGCATTTAAATGAATCTTAAAAGCCAGCTGATAGAAAACAATATGAAATAAGATAGTTAAATCATCCCCCACTTTATCTAGATGCATATAGCCTAAGTTCTGAATCGGTCAAAAATCCAACAAAGACCTATCTTATCACATTGATACAGTACTTAATATTGCTTAAGTTTACTTGATACAATTTGTATTTCCTAATTTTTAAAAGACAATGAGGAAGAAAAGAGCAAAGATCATGTAATAATCACTCAAGTCCCTCTTCTTCACTCTATTCCTTTCTATTCTCAAATAATTCAAGCATCTGGGTGGCATAAAATAAGTGTAAACAAGGAGAAAAAGGGGTGTGGTGGCCCAGAGTGGGGAAAAGAGGCCATTCATATAGGTAGGCATCCTAACATGAAGCATCAGAGCCTAAGAAAGGTGAGGAAAGCATCCATATGGCAGAGCGGCCTGGTAAGGGGAAACTTAGCCCAAAAGTAAAGTAAGGAAGGATCTGTGTGGGGAATGGTTCAGTGTTGAAGATCAGAACCTGAGAAACATAAGAAGAGTAAAGAAGGCATACAGAGGAAGGGGTACCTGGCCAAGACCATCAGAGCCCAAGGAGAGTTGAGAGGGATCCATATGGTATAGGTAGTCAAGATATGAAGACAGCCTAAGCAGGTAAAGAGGAGGTCCAGGGAAGTGGGTGAGCTGGTATGAAGTCAAGAGCCTGAAGAGGCTAAAAAAAGTCATTCAGGGCTGGGGATGTGGCTCAAGCGGTAGTGCATTCGCCTAGCATGCATGAGGCACTGGGTTAGATTCTCAGCACCACATAAAAATAAGATATTGTATCCACCTAAAACTAAAATATATATATATTAAAAAAAAAAGTCATTCAATGGAAGGACAGCCCGGCAAGTTGCTAAAAATCATTCTCCATTAAAAAGAAACAAGGGAATCTAAAAAATAGCTGCTAATTCCAGAGCTGAGGCAGGAAAAGCACAAGATAAATGTGAAATGTTTTTGTTTCTATGGTGTTTTTCTTGTTGTTTTTGCCAGAATATAAGAAATATTGAAAGAATGGTAGAGATCTGTCAAAAGGATATAGAGGCCAACATGAAGGGGGGTTCCTACTGATCAAATGTGAGACATTTTGTGGATTAAAATAGTAATAATTATACAAAAAATAATCCATGAAACAAAACAGGAACTCTGAAGTTCATGGTAAAAATTGAGTAATGAACAGTATGTTTACAATGTCTTAAAATACCTGCCCACAGAGGTTGGGGTTGTGGCTCAGTGGTAGAGCACTTGCCTGGCATATGTGAGGCAGTGGGTTCAAAACTCAGCACCACATAAAAATAAATAAATAAAAAGGTATTGTATCCATCTACAACAACAAAAAATATTAAAAATAAAAAAAAACCTGCCCATAAAGTCCTATTCCCCCCGCCCTTTTTTTTCAGTGCTGAGAATGGAATCCAGGACCTTGTACATGTTAGGCAGGTGCTCTACTACTGAGCTACATCTCCAACCCTATTCCTCCCTCTTTTTAAGTACAGTTGGTCTTCTGTGTCTGTGGGTTCTGTGTCCAACTATGAATTGAAAAATACTCAGAAAAAACCTGCATCTGTATTGAACATAAACAGGCTTTCCTTGTCATTATTCCTTGAACAGTACAATGTTACAACTATTTACATAGCACTTATATTGTAAAAGATACAGCGATCTCTAGGTGATTTCAAGAATATGGAAGTATGTGTGGAAGTAAATAACTTGAACATCCTTGAATTCTGGTATTGGGAGGGGTCCTGGAAACAATTCCCCTGAGTACTAAAGGGCAACTATAATAACTTGACGGCAGAGAAGCCTGTCAAATACCAGCCTAATGAAGAGACAGAGGAGCACACGATCAGTAAAGGAACAAATTGAAAATGTATGCTACCTGAAATTACACAATAAGAAGAAAAGAGTATTACTTCTGTGGCGTACCTATAAAAGATACTTACCCTGAATCGAAACATGAAAAAACATCAGACAAACTCAAATTGAGGGACATTCTAGAAAATAAATTGCCTATAATTTTCAACAGTATCAAGGGCATGAAAGTCCTTTTTTATTTTTTTTAATGTTTATTTTTTAGCTTTAGGAGGACACAATATCTTTATTTTACATTTATGTGGTGCTGAGGATTGAAGCTAGTGCCTCGCGCATGCTAGGCGAGCGCTCTACCACTGAGCCACAACCCCAGCCCCTGAAACTCCTTTTTTAAATTTGACTTTTTTAATTTTTAAAATAAAACTTTTAAAAATTTGACTCCTTCAAAATTTAATTTATTAAATTATTCAAAAAATGCAGTAGGCTGGATGCGGTGGTGCCTATAATCCCAGCTGCTCAGGAGGCTGAGGGCAGGAGGATCGCAAGTTCAAAGCCAGCCTCAACAAAAGCAAGGCACTAAGCAACTGAGTGAAATCCTGTCTCTAAATATAATACAAAAAAAAAAAAAAACACCCTACATATACACATACATACATACATACATACATACATACAATGGGGCTGGTGATGTGACTCAGTGGTCAAGGGCCCCAAGTTCAATCCTCAGTACCCTCCCACCAAAAAAAGTAGGACAAAGGAGGGAAAATTAAAGGAAAAAAGCATGGTTAATGATTACTAAAATTAAATGAATGCTTTCAATGAATCTTTTGCTCCATACTTATCATTTCTTAAGGTGATGATATCTGAATGATAAAATAAAAAATTCTACCACTTTAATGTCACTTTAATTTTTACATATCACAGTTGCAATTTTAAACATCACGATACTTTTTTGTATGTAAATCATAAATTCAAACTGAGGGACATTCTAGAAATTAAACTGCATGTAATTTTCAACAATGTCAAGGACATGACATTTCTTGTTTTCTTTTCATGATTCTAATTTTTAGTTACTGTTTACTATTTATTATACCATGTGAGATATTTGAGTTTTCACCATTTTGCTTTAAGTAATAAATACCTGTCTGAAAATCGGAAGTCTTTCATTTTCTATACACTTAACATTTAAACAAATTTCACTTTTAACTTGTATATATTCTTTTTCCCCCTTTTAAAAAACATGCTGTGGAAGTGAGCACTATCCCTTTTGAAATTACTTGCATACAAACATTTTTTATACCACACACAGATTTTTAGGTATCAAATGATACACAAACTGCTAAATGTTCAGTTTCCAAAGCAGCAGCATCTTTGAGAAGGTATGAATAATTATTTGAATATTTTGTATCATTAATTCTTAAAACCATGCTTTTAGGCAGACAATTAATTGTAATGGGATATTGGCCACCTCAATCTCACTTCAATTCAAACATGGCAGTTTATCTCATCTATTTTACACTGTTCTCCCCAGTAAGATTTTATTGAAAAGCAAGAGTGGTACTGCTTTTAACAATTGAAAACTGATTCAGACTTCCATGTTGGATCCACAGTTGGTGATGTCTTTATGGTTTATATATGAGGTGTCCTCCAAATGCCGATGTGTGAGACAACGCAGGAATGTTCAGAGGTAAAATGATTCAATTATGAAAGCTGAAAACTAATCAGTGGGTTAATCTATTTGACAGATTAATAATTTAGAAGGACTAACATACTAGGTTAACTGTGGGCAACTAGGGTGTGGCTGGAGGAAACAGGTCACTGAGGACATGCCTTTTGAGTTTATATTTTGTCCTCTATGCCCTAACCTCTCTCTTCTTCCTGGCTGACATGAGCCGAGCAGCTTCCTACCACCACATCCTTCTGCCAAGATGTTCTGACTTACCTCTAACCCAGAACAATGGAGTGGTCAACCAAGGACCAAATCTCTGAAACCATAAGTCAAAATACGAACTTTTCCTTCTCTCAGTTGTTCTGGTCAGGTATTTGGTAAAGTGACAAAAAGATGACTGACACACAATGGCAGAGGGAAATGAATCAATCAATTAAAAGACCCAGAACTGACACAGGGGTTAGAATTAGGAAGTCAAAGCAATGAAATTAGTTGTTATAACTCTATTCCACACACTCGAAAAGTTATGCAGAGTGCTTGCCTAGCATGCACAAGGTCCTGGGTTCAATCCCCAACACTACAAAAGAAAAAAGTTGAGCAGAGGCTTGGAAGACATAAAAACAGTGCTATCCAACAGACTCCTGGGATTGTAGAAATGTGATTGCTATGCTATCCTATGATAGCAAGAGGCTAGTGAGCATCTGAAATGTAGCTATTACAACTCAGAAACTGAATTTTTAAATTTAGTCACATATAGCTACTGGTTGCCATGTTGGACATCACAGTTCTAGAGGATCTCTGGGAAAAGACAGCATCCTAGGGAGGTTTTAAGTATAATAACTGTCCCTATTCCTCTTAGATTAAAATGATTACTTTTTTTTTTTCAGTACTGACAATTGAACTCAGAGCCCCACATGATAGGAAAGCACTCTGCCATTGAGATACATTCCCAGCCCTGTTTAAATTTTATTTTGAGACAGAGTTTCACTAAGTTGCCTCTACAGACCTGGAACTTGTAATCGTCCTGCCTCTGCCTCCCAAGCTCTTAAGATTACTACCCCAAGCTAATGGGAAATGATTTTTAAATATCTGGGAAACGAATTCTCTGGAACAATTATACTATTAAAAAGGAAACAGTAAAATTGGAAAAGCAACAAAGATTTTATTGTCAGAACAGGGACATATATTTCACATAACTATAAAGAAGCCTAGATAATGTGAAAAGCACAGTTCTAGAATCAAGAAGATAAAATTAGGGCTGGGGATGTGGCTCAAGCAGTAGCGCGCCTGCCTGGCATGTGTGGGGTGCTGGGTTCGATGCTCACACCACATAAAAATAAAATAAAGATATTGTGTCCACCTAAAACTAAAAAATAAATATTTTTTTTTTAAAAAGAAGATGAAATTAACATATAGTAAATGTACACAGTCAAGTGTTTGGTTTAATAATTTTTGAGGGAACATTTTAAGGGCAAATTTTCCTAAAGTCATCTCTGAAGATTTATACTTTTACCCATGTGATTGAAAAAAAAATATATAAACGACTGCCATTAACATAATCACCTCTCAAATGTTATGCTTCAGGATATGATCTGAATATTTTTAAAAATTTTTAAAATGTCTTTTAAATAAGGGACCCCAAAGTATTTGATATTCACCTGACTAACAAGTTATGTCCATGAGCTGGAAAAGAAGTCACGTGCAGATATGTGCAGTTCAGAGAATAATGAAAGAAACACTAATCTATTAACTTCCTGGGACTGTCATAATAAAATGAAATATGGTACATTTTATATATATAAAAAGGTACCATCTACTTTGACTTCAGTTTGGTGTTGGACTTTGAATAAAAGAAATCTCAATTACATTTTATCAAACATTAATGCACAAAGATTGCACAAAAGTAATAAAATGGAAAGGGTATCAGGAAGAAATCCAAGCTATCTAAGAATAAAGTAGGTCATTTGGGTGGCTCTGGTTGCCAAGCAACTGGTATTTCTGTTTCCCATTGGAATAATTTAATCATTAAAAAGTTTTACTAAACTATTTTTTCTTCTTCAAGATTTATACTTGAATTTATACTTTATAATTTATAACATATTCAGAAACACACTAATGGGAAAACTGTAAGATTTATATAAAGGAAAACTTAAAAAACTTTACTGAAAGACGTAAAAGAAAACAATGTAACTTCTTCCTCTAAAGGATCACAGAGAAATAGAAATGTGTTAGTTATTCCCAAATTAATCTACAAAATCTATCCTATTCTAATTGTGTTTTTTAAGGAGCATGTATTACCAAAATAATTCTGTGATATATCTGGAGAAATCAAAAATATTGATGTTAATTTCTGGAGAGGGTATATTATCCTATAATATACTAAGTTATAGTATGCGCTGAAGCAGGAATGGAATAGAATGGAAGCTAGTCCAGTTAGAGACGGAGTACATGCCATGTGAGCAGCACACACGAGGATAGACCAAGCCATGCAAGCAGAATGCAGACATGTCTAATGAGGGTGTCTGTCTGTTTATATGTATATGCATAGCATATCGATAGAAAAACTAGAATATGATAAAGAATAAGTTTCACATCAGAGAATAGTAAGTAGGTTATTAAAATAACAATGTTTGGGGCTGGGACTGTAGCTCAGTGGCAGAGTGCTTGCCTAGCATGCATGAAGCACTGGGTTCAATCCTCAGCACCACATACAAATAAGAAATAAAATAAAGGCATTCTGTCCATCTACAACTATAAAAAGTTAAAAACAATAACAACAACAACAACAATGTTGCCCTTATTCCCCACATCAAAAAACTTCCTAATAGAACAAAGATTTAAACATCAAAATAAAAGGAACCAAAACATGAAAATATTAGCATATTGCTTGTTTGTTTAAATCTTGGTGTGCTAGGTTTTTCTGAGCATGGTACCAAAGTCAGACTGCATCATGACAATCTTAACAAGAGTTTTTACTATACATATAAAAAATATTTTTAAAACACATAAGCAAAAACATTTATAGGAACAGAAAGTAGAATCGTAGACAGAGGCTGATGGGAAGAATAAGTGGGAAGTTATTATTTAATGGATAGGAAATTTCAGTTTTAGATGATGAATATGTTTTAAAGATCAGTGGTGGTGGTGGGTTATCCAATAATGTGAACGTGCTTAATGCCACTAAAGTACACATTTAAAAATGGCTGAATAATTTGGCACTAGATATATATATATTTTCTTAATATTTTTTATTAGTCATTGATGGATATTTATTTATTTATATGTGGTACTGAGATCAAACCCAGTGCCTCATACATGTTAGGCAAGCACTCTACCATGGAGCCACAATCCCAGCCCGATATTTAAAAACAAATTTTAAATGGGAGGAAATGGCATAAATAGAAATCACTATAAATAAATATATTTAAAATGATCAGGAGTGATGGGAGGGGAGGGGAGAGGAAGGGGGGAAAGGAAGGACAGCAGAATAAAATAGTCATTATTATCTCTGTATGTATATACGTGGCTGCATGACCAATGTGATTCTGCAACCTGTACACTCAGAAAAATGAGAAATTATACCCTATCTGATTCAAATGTATGATATGTCAAGATCATTGTACTATCATGTATAACTAATTAAAACAAATTTAAAAATTTTTTTTAAAAAAAATGATTAGAGCTGGGATTGTGGCTCAGCGGGAGAGTGATTTCCTCGCACGTATGGGGCACTGGGTTCGATCCTCAGCACCATATAAAAATAAATAAATAAATAGAATAAAAGTATTGTGTCCATCTGCAACTAAAAAAATATTTTTAAAAATGATCAAATAAAAGTAAAACAATAAGTTATAATTTCTCACCTATCATATTAACAAAGATAAGCAGGAAAACCACTTGCTTATACATTATCAAGAGCACCCTAAATTGGCATATAATCTTTTACAGCAAGCATTCATGCAACATATTGAAATATAAAATATAATCTAATAATATAATGTTGGAAGTGTGCTAAAATATGTTCTTGGAGTACTATTTGTAAACGCATTAAATAGGAAACAACTTCAATGTCTAAGAAAAAGTAATTGGATATACGATGGCTTTCCTCTATAGAGGAATAATAGGCAATCATTGAAAACTTATGAAGTACCTCTGATTTGTGGTTATGAAACCATGTGCATAACATATAGAGAAAAAAAATAAAAGGTTTCTAAACATCAGAATTCCATTTGTACAAAATAGATAACACAGACACCAGAAAATGGAAGGGCACATACTAAAATATTAGGTCTACTACTTATTAGTTATCTCTGGGCAACTAGATGATTTTTTTTTCTTTTACTTTTCTAGATTGAGTGTTTTACCATGTATACATATTGTAACTGTCATTTATAAAGACAATTTTTTCATTTTACAAAATCAATTCTAAGCCCTGGGGATACAGCTCAGTGATAAAGATCATGCAAAGGCAAGGCCCCAGGTTCAAACCCCATCATACGTGTGGTGGGTAAAATAAATTAAATGAAATCTATTCTATTTTAAAATATCAAATGCTGCCAGATGCGGTGGAATCCATCTGTAATCCCAGGTACTCCAGAGGCTGAGCCAGGAGGATCTCAAGTTCAAGATCAGCCTCAGAAACTAGGGGAAACCTGTCTCAAAGTAAAAGGACGTAGGATGTAGCTCAGTGGTAAAGCACCACTAGGTTCAATTCCCAGTACAAAAAGAAAGAAAGAAAAATCAAATACTGCACTTATTCTAGTTTATATTATATGCCCTATGTCTTAAAACAAGGATTATGTGTAGGAAATGCCCATTGTGATCAATGTGGAAAACTAAAACTCAATAAATTTAAATACAGTTTGCATTGTAATGCCTTTCAACACAGAATCAAAGACTTTTAAGTTCTTTGTATAGAGCAAGAATATAGAGGCCAAATATGCTCTTTACATAATAAAAACCCACTTAAAAACTACTTGCTTTGTAGATAAAATTTTCCTATCTTTAAGTAACTTCAAATTACCACTTTTAACTATTTAAAAATTAACCTGGAAGGACACAAAAGACTCAATATGAAGTACATTAAAATAAAAATAGAAAAGTAAGGTAATAAACATTGATAGACTACATTCCACATTCATCTTAAGGAGTCAAAAATCACTTAATTCTAAATACATTCTCATTAACATCTTATATAAGTTACTCAACATTACAATATAAGCATCACACTCAACTTCTCAAATCCTTTGCTATAAATTCTGTAAAAAGGAGGAATTAAAATGAATGACTTTCTAAAGTTCCTTTCAGATTTGAAATGTTAAGAGGTTCATAACTATAGAAAATTAATTTTAAGTTATGATATCATATATTTTTACTCCTATTTTTAAAGATGTCTTAAATACTTACAGCTTGATTAGGCAGATTGTCAGTCTTAAGTTCTCTGTGATTGGAATACTGAATATAAACTGGCTGGCTTCGAAGTTGAGGAGTAACAGGAGTGTAATAATTCACCATAGTAACTGCAGCTTCCTCAGAAGCCATTTCTAAGAAAGCCTGCAACAAGCATAAGAAGGTAAGGGGGAAAGTTCATCTTTTTTAATAAGACAGTTCACTATTTATCATTCTAACTCACTCTAAAACTCATGCATTCTCAACAGAAATAATATTTCCTCAAAAAGACGAAAAATCTTTTGTTTCAAAGTATATCATGGATGGTAAGTAGAAATGTATTGGAAAAGTTGGGTTTGAGAAAGGTTTGGACTTGAGAAACTGTCAGTTGATTAAATAATTTCATGTGTTTTATCTTCCTATTATTTTTGCTTCTTCTAAAATTTAAAAACAATTAAAAAGGTTAAAATAAATATATAAATCAACATTATAAATGGATGTTTTCAGAGACTGTGATTTAATAGTTTTCTGTGAAAACTTTGGGGCTAATGGGCTATATTCTACATCAAGATATTGAAATTTCATGAGGCAATAAGGAATTTTTTTTTTAAGTCTCAAATGTCCTTTAGAGGAAAAAAGGAAGGAGAGAGCATTGTACTAACTATTTAAATTCTTATGTTTTTTTTTTCTTTCCTTTTCTTTTGGTGGTGGTTGTGAAACAACAGCACAAATAAAATTAAACGGAGCATCCATTTTTCAATAGTTATTATTTCATACTTTGCCAACTAGAAACCAACTTATCTGATCTGATAGCAAGAATGAGAGTTGTCAAGACTTGGTAGAAAGGGAACCTATTCTAGCTATTACAATTTCGATAACTTAGAGGTCATTAACACCTCTGAATCTTAGATTTCCTCATCTAAAATATGAAGTACTGGGCTGGGGATGTGGCTCAAGCCGTAGCGCGCTCGCCTGGCATGTGTGCGGCCCAGGTTCGATCCTCAGCACCACATACAAACAAAGATGTTGTGTCCACTGAAAAACTAAAAAATAAATATTAAAAACTCTCTCTCTTTAAAAAAAAAAAAAAAAAAAGTTGTTAAAATATGAAGTACTGCCCAATATGATCTTTAAGTCTCCTCACATTTTAGGTAGAATTCCTGTTAAGTGATCAGTCTGAGATTTTACAGGAAAGAAATATTGGAAAGCATCTTTTTCAAGTGGTGGTGCCCAGAATTAAATTGTACTTACTTTACAAATATGTTCTCAATCAACACCCATGTTACACTTTGAAACAAAAGTTACATGTAAGTACTCAGAGTTCTTTTCCCTATTTTATATATTTATATTATATGCTTATACACATGCACACACATAAACACTATATCTACACATCTGTATGTTACATATATTTCTTGTGTGGCATCATAATAAATTACTACTGATCAAAGTCAACACAAACCTCTAGTAAGATAACCCAACTATTTTTTCACTATAAAACATTTAATTAGCAAGCACACAGCAACCACTTCGACTTATGTCTAAAACACTTAAAATTTATAAAATATACATTTATTAACAATAAAATTTACTGAACACAGAAAATGGCAAATATCTATAAATCCAACTATGCCTTTGTTTATAGTTATCTTAACTGTCAGATGTTTTCATATGAAGTCCAGTAAAGGAATATCAACTATATAAATGTTAAATATGATGTATAATGGTATCAACCAAATGTCACAACTAAACCAATTAGATGTTTCAAATTAACAATAATTTCCCAAGAGGTAGTTATGTTAGCCAATGAGGGTGAATCAAATATCACAAGTCAAGAAATCAATTCACAATAAACATAAAATTCCACTATCTTTAAAGAGATAAAAGTGTCTTCAAGTCATTATACATCTAAAAGATATAAACGTCCATGATATTCTTTAAAGTATCGGTAATAGACTTTTTCTAATATTTATAAGACAGGAGTATAAAAATGATTAAGGCAAGGAAAAAAAAAAGCTGGGATTCAAACTCAAAAGCTTCTTCTCAGCAAAAAAAAAAAATAATAATAATCAGTGAGGTGAACAGAGAGCCTACAGCTTGGGAGCAAATTTTTACCACACATACATCAGATAGAGCACTAATCTCTAGTATATATAAAGAACTCAAAAATCTTAACACCAAAAAAACAAATAATCCAATCAATAAATGGGCCAAGGAACTGAACAGATACTTCTCAGAAAGTGATATACAACCAATCAACAAATACATGAAAAAGTCTTCAACATCTCTAGCAATTAGATAAATGCAAATCAAAACTAATATTTTATCTCACTCCAGTCAGAATGGCACCTATTAAGAATACAAATAACAGTAAGTGTTAGCGAGGATGTGGGGAAAAGGGCACACTCATACACTGCTGTTGGGACTGCAAAATGGTACAGCCAATATGGAAAGCAGTATGGAGATTCCTTTGAAAACGTGGAATGGAACCACCTTTTGACCCATCTATCTCACTCCTGGATTTATAACAAAAGAACTTAAAAGCAGCATACTACTGGGACACAGCCACATCGATGTTTATTGCAGCACAATTCACAATAGCTAAATTGTGGATCCAACCTAGGTACCCTTCAGTAGATGAATGGATAAAGAAAATGTGATATATATATATATATATATACAATGAAATATTACTCAGAAATAAAAGAGAATAAAATCATAGCATTTGCAGGAAAATGGAGTTGGAGAATATAAAGCTAAGTGAAGTAAGCCAATCCCAAAAAACCAAAATGCCAAGTGTCTTCTCTGATATAAGGATGCCGATTCATAATGGGGATGAGGAGAGAGCATGGGAGGAATAGACGAACTTTAGATAGGTCAAAGGATAGAGAAGGGAAGGGGAGCAAAGGGGTGGGAAAGATGGTGGAATGAGATGGACATCATTACCCTAAGTACATGTATGTAAACACATATGGTGTGACTCTACTTTGTATTCAACCAGAGACATGAAAAGTTGTGTTCTATTTGTGAAACATGAATTGAACTGCACTCTGCCATCTCATATAACTTATTAGAATAAATAAAATTTTAAAAAACTTTTTAAAAAGAAAAAAAGCTATGGCAATAGTTTCTACCTGGTTTTTAATCGCCATTCAATAAAGAATTTGTAAACATTATTCCAATAATATTCTCCATAAGGGAAGAAAGTATATTTTTACTAACTCTTTGCTGAGTGTTAAGAAATAGTTCAATTTCTAACATCAGTCACATAAAGAAAAAGTTTAACAATGTCTTTGGAATATGCGAGTCTTGTCATAGGAAGGGTTTTTTTCCCCCCCTAGAGTATACAGAATCTAGACTTTTATATGTAAAAATAAATTTCTCACATGAAATCCAGTAATCATTTAAGATTTTCCAAAGTATCTAGTCAAAGAATTTAGTCTTCATCATGTGGGGTGGAGAGACAACTAAAAGTCATTGCCCGGAGGACTTAAAATAGCCCCTCTCTTCCCCCATCATTCCAAATGCTCTGGGAAAGGTTATAGCCCATAATCATGAAGTGTATTACTAAATAGGTATTTTCTAAACAGGATTTATGATTTAAGAAAAAGGTAATGAACAGGTACAGTTAGCTTACAGATAAACCCCAGAATAAACAGTAAAGACAAGAAAAAACAATTGTGACCTTGCCTACTGCCTATCAAAACCAATATTAGAGATGATCATGATTGCTTTTTTCAAATCACACAGACCACAGGATTCCCAGCAGTAGCAACTCTTGTTTAACTCTTGTTAAATAATAAAGATTTAAGCCCCCATGTACTAGTCTCCAATAGATGTAAGAAATGTGCACACATGAAGAATACATACGAGAGCATGTTTATAACCTCTCTGAATCTTAGTAACCTCATCTGAATTAAGTGGGGATATTAATCAAGCAGTTTACTAGAGGAGGACTGAATCAGACATGATCCAATCACTTTCATACCCACACTTGACTATTTATTTTTTAGGTACCAGGAATTAAACCCAGGGACACTTAACTACTGAGCCTCATCCCCGGCCCTTTATGTATTTTACTTAGATACAGGGTCTTGCTCAATTGCTTAGGGCCTCACCAAGTTGCTGAGGCTGGCTTTCAACTCACAATCCTTCTGCTTCAGCTTCCTGAGCCGCTGGGATTATAGGTGTTCAACACAGCAGCTGGCTCTATTTATTTATAAGTGTAGTCATGCTTCTAAAACTTTTATTTACAAAAAGAAGCAACAGTGACATATCACAATGTACTATAAATTTTATAGTCTAGATTCCATGCCTCCTTTCTATAATAATGCTTAGCACTAAAGATTTTCAGGATAATCAAAAAAGTGGAAAGAACTGAAGAATACATCCCAGTGAGGTCTCATTTTGGAACAAGAAAGCACACAATCATTAAAATCAATATAACAAGTATTATATTTTTGTTATGGTCATGAGAGAATCAAATTTTCTTAGTTATTTTCAGAAAACTTATTTTTTTCAGGACATTGAAACAGGCAAAAAATTTTGGGTTATAATCCAAAAAAGCAAAAATCATACAAATGAGATTAGATCAAGTTTTTAAAAAGCATCTGCAAAGCAAAGGAAATTATGAACAATATCTATAATATATAAGGAACTCCAAAAACGCAATAGCAAAAAAGAAAAAAATTAAATAATTGACAATAGACCTAAACAGATATATCTCAGAAGGAGACATACAAATAGCCAAAGGCATCTTAAAAATGTTCAACATCAGGGCTGGGGTTGTGGCTCAGTGGTACAGTGCTCACCTAGCACGTGCAGGGCCCTGGGTTCAAGCCTCAGCACCACATAAAAATAAAAAAATAAAAGATATTGTGTCCAACCACAACACAAAAAATAAAATATTAAAAAAAAAGTTCAACATCAAAGAAATGCAAGCTGAAAAAAAAAAAAAAATGAGAGGCCAGGCTACCTCACTCCATTATCAAAAAATAACAAGCGCTGGCAAGAATGTGGAGAAAAGAGAATGCCTGTACACTTGTTGGTTGGAATGTAAATTAGCACACTCATTATGGAAATCAGTATAGAGATTACTTTAAAAATTAAAACAGAACTATCATATGATCTAGCAATCCCACTACCGAGTATATATCCAAAGGAAAGGAAACCCATATGTCAAAGACATCTGCACTTCCATGTTTATTGCAGCACTATTCACAATAGTCAAGAAATAGAAATAACCAAAGCATCCATCAAAGGATGGATGTATAAAGAAAATGTGAAACATACATAATGGAATACCATCTAGCCATAAAAAAGAATGAAATTCTGCCATTCGTGACAACACAGATGGAACTAGAAATCATTATGTTAAATGAAATACACCAGGCACAGAAAACAAGTACTGAATGATCTTGTGGAATATAAAAAACTGAACTCACAAGCTGAGTGGAACAGTGGTTAACAGAGGGTGGAGAGTGTAGGGGAAGAAGATATGGGGAAAGGCTGATCAGTGGGTGGGTATTAAGTTATTGTAAGTAGAAATAAGAAGTTCTGGTGTGCTATATTGAACAGTAGGGTGACTACAGATAATGATAATGTGCAGTATATTTCAAAAAGCTAGAAGAAATGATTTTAAATGTTTTCACCATAAAGAAATGATCAATCAGGAAATATGCTTAATCTGATTTAAACAACACACAACATATACATGTACCAAAAATCACATGGTACCCCATAAATATGTATGATTCTTATATACCATATATATATGTATGTGTGTGTATGTGTGTGTGTGTGTGTATAGAATTTTTTTAAGTGCAGGGCTGAGAACCAAAACCTACAGCTTTTGTACATGCTAGGCAAGCCACTCTCTGAGCTGCATACACTCTCAGTGCCAATTTTTGTATTATTGTGTATCAGTTAAAATAACTAATTAAAAAAAAAACCTATTAACTTATCAAATGAAGCCTCTCTTATATCTCCCTCAAATTATTAAATAAATTACATATTAATTCTACAACTGAATATACATACTGTTAAATGAGTTTACAGGAAGTCATTGTTTTGTACTAGCCTCCTACACAAGGCCCAGAAGATATAAGAGTCAACTCATATTAGGTAGATAAATTTCCAAAATAACAAGTTTCTTTTTCTTTTCTTTTTTTTTTCTTTTGATGTTAGGGATCGAACCCAGGGCCTTGTGCATGCAAGGCAAGCACTCTACCAACTCAGCTATATCCCCAGCCTCCAAAATTACAAGTTTTTAACAAAAGGTTCATAGAAACCCATTAGCATGAGCTCATTCTACCCAAACATGTTTACCCTCTGCTTTAACTCTTACAATAATCCACTTAGTAAGAAAGTGTTGTTTCCACCTTAAAAATGCTAACCATTCTATCATGTCCAGCTTAACACTCATACTATTTTATAGAATTAAGTATTGATTAATTCTAACATCTCACATAAAAGTCAATTTAGACCTTAAAAATCATTGTAATTTGGTCTTGTGACAATACTATACATTTCTATCTAGATTTTGGGAAACTTCACCGTTCTTTGTCAAATATGATGTGATTTATATCCTCTCTATCAAGGTCTTCTAGTAATCACAGGATGTTTTCATAAACCATCTTATGAGTAAAATACAAAAATATTTCTTGTTAGGAAGGAAAATGTTTATAAATCAACAAGTGATAAATACTATTATTTTTGCATTAATATTTGTTGATTCCTGGTATAACCCCCCAAAAAAAACCTTCTACTTTAAAAATTAATGATCATAAAATTTAGAAAATAAGAAAAGTTGAAAAATTATCTGTAATATACCCAGAGATAATCATTCTGTGTTACTCTTTAAATATTACATACCTGGCTTTTTCCTTTCAACATCAAAAGATTAGTTACTTTGCCAAATGGTAGACCTAATGATATGACCTCTGCTTCGGTGACATCACATGGAATTTTGCGAAGATGGAGAACACGGGAAGGTGAACAGGGAGGTCTATCTCCTTTAAATTTCTTGTTGTCATTCCCATTAGCTAAAAAACAAGATTTTTAAAAATTACTAAAACTAATATGGTTGATATACTACATCAATTGTCACAATTGATCCTCTAGAGGTTTAGAATGTGAAATTCAGAAAGCTATAGGCATTGATGGGAGGGGAGAAGAATGGGAAACAAAATCAACCACATTTCTATGAGTCTTTTTTCTATTTTTTTTTTTCCACTGTGAGTATTAAGCCATTTATTTCCAACTCTTTATATCTAAAGACAGCATCTAACTAAGCTGCCCTAACTGGCCTGGAACTTTAGATTCTCTTGCCTCAGCCTCTTGAGTGGCTAAGATTACAGGTATGCTCCCTGACTTCAACTTTAACTTCAAGAAAAAGTATTAGTATAAATGAAATACATCATTTCAAATACAATCATGCGCCACATAATGATGACTCTTCTGTCAAGAAATGGACCACATACAGGCTTATGATCTCATAAGATTATAAGGGAGCTAAAATATCACCTAGTGACATTGTAACACAATCCATTATTCATGATTGTAGTGATGCTGGTGTAAACAAACCTACTGTGCTTCCAGTCATGTAAAAGTATATCACATACTATTACATACAGTAGATAATACTTGTAACAATAAATGACTTACTGATTTACATAGATTACAATTTTATCATCATTTAGGGGTATACTCTTTATACTTACAAAAACAAAACAAAAAGTTAACTGTAAAACAGCCACAGGCAGGTCTTTTAGAAAGTATTCTAGAAGAAGGCACTGTTATCATGAGATGAAGGTTCCATGTTACTACCCATGAAGACCTTTCAGTGGGACAAGATGTGGAAGTGGAAGACAATGAAATTGAAGATCCTGACCCTTACATTAAGTAAAATAAAAAGAAAAACTTTTTAAAAATATAAAAATTCCATCAAATAAGTAAATTAAGAAAGATATTTTTGTACAGCTAAACAATGGGCCTATACAATCAAAAGCTTTTTTAAAAAAAGCTAAAATTTATAAAGAAAATGTTATAATAATCTAAGGTTAATTTATTATTGAAAAAAATTATTATTTTTTTTTTTACATATTTGGCAGACCCTAAATGTACCATGTTCACAAAGGTACATTAGTGTACAATAATGTCTTAGGCCTTTACATTCACTTTTTACTCACTGATTCATTCAAAGCACCTTCAGACCAGAAATCTCCATTTGGGATAAATGCCAAAACATCTTTTCTATGTTTAGGAACAGAAATACCATTGTATTACAAATGCCTGTAGTATTCAGTATAGTAATGGTGCTATACATATTTGTAGCTGAAGGCAGAAGCTATTTCCACTGGCAGGTGGGGTCTGCTGAAACTGCAGGTATCTGCATCTGAGATACATGCTGTAGCTCTTAATGACAGGCTATGCCTTCCAGTGTTGAAACAGACCCCAGCAGCTCACTATCCATTTCTTCTTTCTAGGTTCTTAACTTGTGAATTTGAAGAATGAAATCCACAGACAAGGATGAGTGAGTATAATAGAATTTATTCAAGTATATGTAGAAAAAGAACTCCTGCAGGACCAAAGAAGACAAGACAGGGATTGCCACCTAAGTGTTAGTCTAGTAGTTTATAGAATATAAAGCACTTGGGTGAATGCTATTGGTCCAAATTTATGCTAATTAAATTTTGGAAAAATATTAATGCTGTTGGTTAACTCTTGAGTCAGAACTTCCATTCAAGTCTGTTCCACTTCCACTTTTTCACAGCTCATCTGTAATCCCAGATGGTGCAGGTTCAGGGATCCAGAGGAGGTGCCAGGTGGGCATGCCCTAGCTTGCCCCAGCTAGCATGGCAGTCTCAGGACCTGTGAGCCAGAACCTGTGCTTCTCACCAGCACAGCAATCCACCAGGGTTGTAGCTCTACCACCAATTCTCGAAAAGATTATTGGGCTGGCTGTGTGGCTAGGCAGCTAGGGGTCATGTCACAATCTCCATTCAGGGAAAGTGTCCTATACAAGTATATCTTTTCTACGTTCAGGTACACAATACCATTGTGCTACAAATGCCTGCAGTATTCAGTACTGTAATGTGCTACATATATTTGTAGCTAAAGATAATGAGCTAAACCATATATCCTAGGTATATAGTAAGTAACCCATACCATGTAGATCTGTGTACGTATACACACTATGACGTTCCCTTAATAATGATGAAATAGCCTATAATGCACTTCTCTGAAAGCATCCCCATTTTAATTAGGGTACCTATAAATACTCAAATTTTTGTTATGAATAGAGAACAATATTTATGGCTTTAAATTGTTTTTCTAATTTGTTCAATATTTACAAACAAATAACTATAAAATAAATTTTAGGAAAGATTATGAAAAAACTTTATATTTATTACATCTAAGATCTGAATTTGAGCTGTTTATGAAAATTAAACTCATTTCTTAGGCATTAAAAGTTTTATTAATTTATTATTTAATTCATTTATTGATATATAATAATCCTATTCATTATTACAGTAGTTCGTTTATTTTTTGGTATTTGGGATTGAACCCAGGAGTGCTTTACCACTGAGCTAAGTCCACAGCCCTTTTTATTTTTTGTTTTGAGAAAGGCTCTTCCCAACTTATTAAATTGTTGAGGCTGCCCTTGAACTTGTGACCCTCCTGCCTCAGCCTTCCAAATTGCTCATATCATAGACATACACTACTATTCTGGATTCATTATTACAGTAAATCTTAACGTAAGTGCCACCTTCTCAAAGATGCAAAGTTTCAACACCATACCAGACTTACTTCATCAGGAAGTTCAGGGCTGGTACCCAGCCTTCTACATTTAAAAATGTCCTCCATGTAATTATGATTCACTCTGAAGTTTGAAAACTGTTGCTATAAAATAAATTCATTATCCTAGCACATAGCTAAGTTTTGTTTAAATCCTATTGGTTTGAACATTGACATAAGTAGAACCAACAAGCCTGTAAGGAATACTAAAGTTTATGCAGATAAGATTCAGAATTTTTTCCAGAAATAGCATCATGTAAGACTTCATATAAATTATTTAAAAGCCAAAAGTTCCATCACAATGCTTTATAATAAAAATGCCATATTTGCCACTATTTGGAGGAAAAATTTCTTTTCAAACATCTGCGAATACCTTTTTTCTAATGAAAGAATAATATCTATGATCCTAAATTTAAAAATTTCATGAGAACCACATAAAAATCATATACGATAGATTGTACCCACATGTATGGCACAGAACTCAATGTGTTCACAGCACTTGCTCCCAAATTCTCTCTGTAAATGTATGTAGCATCTTATCCAGCACCAATACTATTTTTACTTAGTAGTCCATATAGTCTTCATACAGTAAATGCGGCAGTCAGATTATGAATGAGACTCAAATATTTTTTAGATCAATTAATCTGGGAACAAAGGATTCCTTCTCCTCTATTTCATCAATTACCAAGAAATTCACCTTTTTCCCCTCAAAACTCACCACTGATTACATGCTTCCATTTTCTTTTTTTTTTTTTTAATATTTTTTAGTTGTTGATGGACCTTATTTTATTTATTTGTATGTGGTGCCGAGAATCGAACCCAGTGCCTCACATATGCTAGGCAAGCGCACTATCACTGAGCCACAACCCCAGCCCCAACTTCCATTTTCACTCTCAATATCATCTACCTCACCTTTTGATCTTGTCTCATTTCCTGCGAGCCCAGTCCCATGTTCCTAGGATTCAGTATCATATCAACTTAACTCAAAGAGTTTATCATGTCTTAACCTATTCTAAAAACTGACAAGTTTCCAAATACCAATACATGTCCTTTAGTTTGCAGTGTTTAAAAACTGCCTCATTAGAGTCTCAAAAATATCACTATAATCTAAAGTTAGTTTTTTTAAACCACAAAAATCTCAAAGTATGTCTTAAAATTCCTAGAAAAGACTACGTAACTTGACACTGACACTGAAATTTTTCGAAGTATGACCAGGCTTATGTGGATTAACAATAATAACAAAAGAACAATGTGAAGGAATTTTTTTTTTAAATTCTAAGTTTGCAAAATGTAAATGCCAAAAACCAAGTTATTTGAGCTTTCACTTGTGTTGCACTATATCAGATGAAGACCTACTTTACCAAAAATATGCTACTGCAAATCATTTTAAGATGTTAATTGACCCATAGGATTGAAGTGCCTGGATTCTGTTAAGGAAGGGGAAGGGCAAAGAGGGAAAGCATAGCACTTGGGCTGCCTATAAATCAGACACCTGTTCTGGACAGGTTACTTGACATTACTGAACCTCAAGGTTCTTCTTCCATAAAATGAGCATAACAACAGGGATGCTATAAAAATTAGTTTAATTTTCAGTTGTCTTTTAAATGTTTGTCAGAATGTCTAGCACAATGTTATTAACAATGCTATTCTTAAGATGCTATTCTTGCTATTCTTAAGACAAGTTGTTTTACTTTGTAATTACCTTCTTCTTTGTTTTTCCCCCAGTAACTGATGACTGAACCCAGGGGCACTCTACTACTGAGCTACATCTCCAATTCTTTTTATTTTGAAACAGGTCTCACTAAATTGCCAAAGCTGGCCTTGAACTTATGATCCTCCTGCTTCAGCTTCCTAAGTACAGTTGGGATTAAAAGTACCATGATACTCCACATATATATGTAGTTGAATACAATACCTTTATTTTATTTATTTATTTTTATGTGGCGCTGAGGATTGATCGAACCCAGTGCCTTGCATGTGCTAATGCTTTAAAGTGAGTGCTTTACCACTAAGCCACAACTCCAGCCCCACTTCTACTTTTTTGATGTCAAAATGATGATTTTATTTTTTTCTCTCGATATCATTAATTGGCAAAATTAAGAAAATGCTCAAAATTAATTGAAAATGTTATCTTATGAAATCTAAAAAGATGTCTAGGTCATTTAGATCATCAGAAAAAGTTTGTATCTGAAGATTTGATAAATAATTTCAAAATGGAGAATGTATGTAATTATAGCCATAATTT